TATTGAAGACGAACCGATTTCCGTTACTGTTTTCAGGATTCGGCCACCGGATGATGCTGCAATTCATGTGGATGCTTTTCAGGAACATTCAATAAATCGTATGGTAAGTTGTGTTTGTAATAACTGTTATGTATGTGTAGTGCGTCCTAGTAACATCGTTAGCATTGGGGATCCACAACGGTTATCCAAATGACCTTGATAATTTGAAAAGGTTACGAAATTTAAGAATTTTCCTATACGGAGAGCAAAAAAATTTAGGAGGAGAATAAGAAAAATTCATTTTCTTTAATTTCTAATGTATTTCTTTCCTTGTAAAGTTCTTGTAAAATCCCTGAAAAATCCCTCAGTCCTTAATCTCCCAGCGAAAGCCCTTCCTCTGAGGGTTTTGCTCAGTCCCTAGAAAAAAATTAAAAAAAAAGATTAAATTTCGCTCGCTTGTGCTAACTTGGGCCATCGGTTACTGTAACAGACGTTGGAACAAATACAGACATTACAGGTGCACGAGATACAACGTCTGGGCTGATAAACTTACTCATTGTTCCGTAAGCGGGACTGGACATGGCTGACCCAACAGTTCTGTTGAAAGTTGGCCGAGCACTGATTGTACTGCGATAGTCGGAAACCGAGAAATCGTCCATATTGCTGAAAGGTATTGGTAGCAATAAGAAAGCAGTTAGTTTTGTACATATAAAAGTATTTATCGCTTACATAAAAAAACAACTGTAACTTGGCTTCGGTTAAAAAATTTGGCCTCCGTTCAAATAAAGGACATGTTATGGTGCGGAAAAGGAAAAGTGACTTAATGGACCGAAACATTTCCATCCAGATAGATATTCTTACATTTTTATTCCTACATTTTCTCCAATTTCCTTCCCCCCTGTTTCAGTTGTCATTTAACTAATAATCCATAACTACTGATCAATACCAAACCGCATCGGGACTCTTGCAATGTAGATACATTAGCAAAATGTGAAAGTTGCAAAATAAATCATAATTTTTTGAGACGATTATTGACTAAATAACACGGTAATCATTCAGGCCATTTCCAAGTGTAACTGCTTATAAAAAGCAGAAAGGAATGTGTTTTTTTTTCAAGCAGAAAAGCTTGGCCGGCTCCTGCTTATATTGTATGCTCTCGTGCTTGAGCTATTCATGCGGCAAGAATGAGAAATAACACATAGATACAAGCGGATTACTGAATGGTACACATACAGTATAAAAAAGTGCACGCAAAAAGTCGCTGATATAGGGCAAAAATGCGCTTGAATAGTTATATAGAATTATGTGAATGAGAAAACATGGAGAAGAATGGAGAAGTTGTCAGCTGCATCAATGGTGAGAAAAAGCTGAAAACACAGCTGACTGTACCAAAGTAGGTACTGCAGTGTTTCACCATGCGGTATTTGCATTAAGCCCCAACAAGTATCACTTTAAATGAGTTTTAAAAAAATCGAATTTTATCAAGGCTAAGTCTTGGCTACTAGCATGAAAACCAACAATACTAACTAAGGCCGCCTGCGCACTAGGCCTATGGACGTTCTATGTTAGTGATGTTACTGAGATGCTCTTACACGCCAGTCGCAGTTATACTCGAATATTCGACTTTGGACTGCATACTTACATTAAGTATTCACCGCCTGTCCAATATACGCGCATCACCTCTTTGCGGACTGCCTGAGCAGTCTTCTTTCTCTTTAGTACCACTCACTAATACGCATCGTCCAT